AAAAAATACTCTTATTATTTTACTGACATTTTTCAATGTGTTTGGCAAAAAAAAATAAAAAAAATAAATAAAAATAATAAATCATGGATAAGCCTTGAACTTTCTAACACAACAAGTCAAATAGCAGTCCATTAAAAAATAAATAAAAAGAAACCAATTATTTACCAAATTGGCCAATATTTATGAATTTTAATTTTGTGAAATTTTTCAGTGAATTATATTTCTAGTCTTTAAACTGGCACTCTGCAATGTGCACCTCATCACTTCTCATTTCCATCATAACCAAATGTAAACTTATTTTGAAAAAACCCAATTATTCTGTAAAATGCATGGCATGATTTATTTTATTTATTTTTTTGTTAAAAATGGTGAAATTCTACACATAAATGCTAAATATATATTAAAAAAATACTTAATACTAAAACTTGTTTTAAGGTCTAAGACAGATGTACAAAGTAGAATTTTCTTGATTTTGAGATATTTTATAAGGTCTGGACCAAGGACGAGCCTAAAATAGAGACCCTAAAGCAAATTAACATTTAAATAGTCCACAAAATGAAAATGTGTTTAAAGAGACATATTAAAACTTTAATAATTGTGAAAATTGCAATAATTACATTTTTAAAGCATTTTTTTTTTTTTAATCTTAATAGGTGACTAAAAAGTTCCCCTAATTGAAGAATCACTCTTGCATGTTGTTAATTTTGAACATACCTGCCAGCACTTCTGTCCTTTGGAAGAGATTTTCTGTGCGAACCTCATGAAGCGGGTCAGCGTCTTGTACAACACTCGGTGAGCTGGTGGCTTCAACAGTGACCTGGGGCTTTTCTGTCTGATAGTCAGAGATCTAAAAAACAGCGAGAGAAAGACAGCTTAGCATCCAAACTGCTGACACAAAAAAAACAGTCCAGCTTGTAGATAGTGTCGGAAAGAGTGAAGAGATTCTATAACAAGATTGAAGGATCCAGTAAAACTGTGAGAGACAGTAGGTCAGTGTAAGCGTCAAAAAGGGCCAATATCAAAAGTATCACAAGTTGTCACAGTTTTGCAGGCTGTGCAGGTTTTCGGAGCAGTGGGAGTCAGCAAAAGCTTTGATAGTGTCAGAACCAGTATGACTGAAATGGGCGAGCAATCGCACCTCTGGTCCGAAGTCTGAATCAATGAATGTGTCTATGCTGATGGAGGACTCCAAGCTAGGGCTGCTGCTGTAGACGGGCTCCTGAGTAGAATCTGCTTTGAATTCTGGGTACCGCACAATTACCGTGGAAGTGTCTTCGTCATCATCTGTGTCACTAGAACCTAAAGAGACGCATGAGAAATAAAAAAAATGAGATGAGAATCAAACAAAATAATGTTTTCCTAATATTTCATGCATTTGATTGGCAGAGCAGTGTCTGTCCACATATCACTCAGCTTGTCTTTTTTTTGCGAGGATTTTTAATTTACTCTTTCTGCGGGCTAAACTTAAATGCCATTAGGTGGCGACAAGTGACTCTCTTTGGAATCATTTACTTAACTGACTAGGGCTACGTTCCACTTCGTCTTTTTATGCCGTTCTCTCACTAACTTCCCTACGTCTCGTTGACTAGGATATACGTCATTGATTACACTGCACGGGTGCCCACTAGGCTTGCTTCGATAGACGGTGTTTTCGGTTATACCGGTGTTAAGCCGCAACACCGGTTACGTCATTTGCCTACCGCGGCACCGCCCCCCACCGTCGTTTTGATTTTTTTTATAGTAACAAAAATAATTTAGCCTAGTTCAGTTAGAGGACCGATACTTTTAAAAACTAAATGCTCAACGCAGCGTGCCGAACTGTGCGCGAACGACAGTGCACCAAGGAGCAGGAGTCAGATTTTATTTATCACATGAGGAGAGTGAGTCGAGCTGACTGACAAGGGTGAGGTGAGAAAGACAAGACGATGGCAGAAGATTGTTTAGAAAGGAAATGCAAAGGCGCCTGTTTGGCAATATTTTAGATTTTGAAAAGCATATTGACTGGAAGTTTTTTTTAAACATTCGTTTCTTATTTATTTGGCTCCACAGTGTTTGCTGATTACTTTATTTAAACTTTGTGAATTTTATTTATTTTATTTTACATCAAGGTGTACATGCCATGCCTCCAAGCTTTCTTATTCGTTTTGCTAATAAACGTTCTATGTTTCTTATTTATTTGGTTCTACAGTGTTTGCTGATTTTCAGTTTTATATACCTATTTAAACTTTGTGTAGCCTAAGTAATTTGTTATTTTATTAGGCATAGGCCTATATGGTGTATTTTTATTCGTTTTGTTTATAAAAGTTCTGAGTTTGATGTTGTTGTTGCTTGAATTGAATCAACGCTGAATTGCCCCTAATTTGAAAGTGAAAGTAAAACGCGCACGGCGCTTTTTCAAGCTATTTGAAAGCCAAGAAATCCGAGGAAAAGAGGGAAAACTCAAACAAACAATTGCTTGACGCCGAATTGTGGCAGTTAGCGCTAATTTGAAAGTGAAAGTAAAATTCGCAAGGCACTTTTACAAGCCATTTGAAAGCGAAGAAAAGAGGGAAACTCAAACGAACTAACACCCCACTCCCACCCCAACGGTGATACCGGTATTACCGGTGTTGTCACTCGTCGATTAACTGGTGGGAAAATTTCCTCATAGTCACAACCCTAGTGCCCACTACTTGGCAGAACCCTTGCAATGGGCTGAATTGGAGCGTCCCCTTAATCATCTGGAATCCACTATGGAGTTGATTAATTATTTAAATGTTTTCCTTGTATGCAGCATTCTATATGTATACGAATATACTTGGGCTGTTTAAAAAAAAATCATATATCATAGAGTTGTTTGGGGTGGGAGTAAATTAAACGCGATCTGTGGTGACATCACAATCGAGTTGCATTGTGGTATATGGAGTGGCCTGAAGTGTACAGTACATGTGAAGTAGACTTGCTCCTTCTGTCAAAATCGAGGGGTCGAGGCCCTGTCCACATAAACTTCCCTCGTCCACTTCATGAATTGGAACGCACTTCAAAATGGCAGAAGTCTAAAAGTGAAGCGGAACATCATTCATGAACTAAGTTACTGTCTTCATGAGAGAGTCACTGAATAATTTTCTTAACTGATTCATTCAGAATGGAAACTACTGTCTACTGCTCTGGGATGCACAAGTGTTAATTCCGATGGGGCTTAATTTGGCACTATTTTCATTGGCAGAGCAAAAAGTCACTGGCAATACTGTGTACAACCGTGCTTATTTTCGACAGCACTTTTACTTGTATGATGTTGCTTAAATATTGCATAGGCCTATATCTTATGCGATATCTTTAGCTTTGTCTGGACGTTTTAAACACAAGGACAGTTTTTATGTTGATACCCATTCACACAGAATGTGTTTTTGTGTTCCTCTGTGCTAATTTTACATGCACTAGACGAACATGTTTGACCGCTGTGGTTGCACATATTTTGCAGCAACCACATTAAAAACAGTTCTTTAAAAAAAAAGCATCTCTAGATTTTGCGCTATATTTCACAACCCTGCATCTATCTTTTTTAAATGCAAAAATGCATTCTGTTTAAATGGCACCTAGCAACATATTTAGTAAACCTGAAACCAGCCTGATCATATAGGGTTCTCTCGAAATTATTATGCAACTAGTCATTTGTAAGTCAATTTTAAAAAATTAAGAGTTTTGCACGTCTATGACGTTATGGTCTGATGGGACTATAATGGCCTGAGCTTTAGCTTAAATGTTCCAACCTTCTCTCTTTCTTGGAATTTCAGTTCTGTATAAATATAACCATACAGAATGAGAATGCAAGATCAGCACAATTGTGCTTAAAGTGTTTCCGAGAGAGACAAATATACTGTATAAAATGTATAAATATTTCAACCATACTCTCCATTTTGCACTGTAATTGTGCCAGGTACAAGGCACTGTGGTACAGCAATAAGAGGTAGAGAAATGGCTGAGTGACCATGGTGGTCTTGGCTGACCGCGTTTGACTGCAGGTGAAACATCTGTCTGCTCACAGGGTGGGCAGCATAGTCTAGCAATCACCTAGCAGCCCTTCTATTAACAACACATCCCACAACCTTTAGACACAACAACACTGGCTCTGTGGGTTGATTATAAATACTTAATTAATAATTTTCTAGCCCATAACTTAATAGGTGACGAGGTGATGAGGTGCTCTACTAGAAGTCCATAACTCAATGCTACACTAGTAAGTTGACTAAGAAAATGTACCAAATTGCAGCATAAGTAGCACGTAATAGCATCATTTGTCTTTAAAGGTGCCATAGAATGGAAAACTGTATTTACGTTGGCATAGTTGAATAATAACAGTTCTGTTCATGGAAATTACATACCGTGAGCCTCAAACACCATTGTTTCTTCCTTCTTATGTAAATCTCGTGCATGCAAAAGACCACTGAAAAATAGGCGAATCAGAACATAACACCGACTGTGACGTTACAGTCGGTATCACTAATAGTTACGCCCCCAACATTTGCATATACCCGCCCATGTTCTATGCCAGCCGCCAGCCGAACCTGGACAGCCGAATCATCAGAAGTTCTGCAGGTATTGTGAAGAAACAAGCGAGGATAATAGCGAAAATGACAGATCATGGAAATAAATGTTATGTTCCAGGCTGTGCAGGGGATGTGATGTGCAGGGATGGGTTGGTGTCTGTATTCAGAAAGGCACGGAAAAAAAATTACGCGCATTCTAATAAAATAACGCGAGCCACTAAAGGGACATGGCTAGCTGCTTGCTAGCGGTAGCCTGTTACAGGACATAAGATTTCACTTACCACATAAACAGAGTAAGGAGAGATGACTGAGGATGATGGCAAATGATTTACAGATCCTGAGCACCACTGACAAGCATCTGATCTTGTAAAATGTGTGGTAAGTACTGCCGCTGTAGTTTACACAGAGCATGTGCGATCGCAAATCTCGAAAGCGAAAGTAAAAAGCGATCGTGCTTTCGAATATATTAATAGCGGCTCCCTCATGCCTGCATTTTATATACAGTATAATTACCCAACGATATAACTGCGAGAGAGAGTATTGAAATATATATTTTCCCTGTGTTTCCTTCATGCTGTGTGAGCTACTGAAATGAGCCGCACTGTGAAACAGCCAATCAGAGCAGAGCTCAACATTATTATTCATGACCCTTCCAAATAAGGTAAAAACAGGCCATTTCATTCTAGGGACAAATCCTAGGGTTGTAAATGGACATGTAAAACCGTTTCTGGATATTTTTTGCCCTTACCTAAGCCACATACCTTCTATGTAGATATCAGAGAACAATTTAAAATATTGTATCAGTGCATTCTATGGCACCTTTAATAATTATAGAATACACATTACTACTCTACCTAGACTAGACTTTTCGTATTTTTAATGAGATGTTACTCGCTGGCACAATGCAAGGGTGTTCTGGGTGGTTCCCAGGCCATTTCTATGCGTTTGCTAAGGTTTTGATTGGATTGCCTACAGATGGCTACTTCCCAGACCAAGTCAAAATAGCCATTCCATGGGTTTCGATAGCCCTGTTACAAATGGCACATTTAGTGTGTACTTGCGGACTTGAGGTGTTGTCGGTTGCATGCTAGTGTCCAGTGAGTCTTTTTTTTTAATTCATAATATCGCATTTTTTCATTTTAGGTTTCAGACGGGTCCAAAGCAGACTACTACCCTACATTAGTGCCATTTTGTCTTCAAAGTGTGGACTTTGAGGAGGAACACAAGGCCTTAGGCCAGCATGGTTCAGGGTTTTTGTAGGTCTGATGATCTGGGCTGCTTTGCCAATCATTTTGAGACTAAGTTGTTTGTAGAGACCATTTCCACCCCAGTGTTAGGGTTTTGTTGAACAATAATCATAATATCAAAATCGCAGTCTCAGGAGATGCCTCAGAATAGTGATAGTAACTTACCAGATCCTGAACCAGAAGTGAAGTCATCATCATCTAAAGGATAGTCACCAGACTGCTGGTCATCCAAATAGATGTCATCAGTTGAGGCAGGGGACTGACTGGAGACCAGTACCTGCACAGGTAAACACAAGCAGAACATTCACAGCCAAAACGTCCAATTTAATCACAAAAGTATCTGAAAATCGAATAAACTTGCTTGAAAGAAAAATGTTTAGTCATTCCCTTACATATGAAATGATCTCAAAGAAATCTTCACAGTTACAAAAAAAAAGGGTACACCACTTAAGTACCATTAACATATCAAATAAAACTTTTTTTTCCATTTCTAAACAACACAGAAGAAAATCTTGGCTGATTTTGCTTTATGCTGAAGACATAAACAACAAAAACGCCTCCCCAAGGTTCCTCCCACTTCTGTTTCCCTGGAAACAACCTCAAAGGAAAGTAATGTTTGATTCTCTTCCTCAGGAGAAAACTCTCTGAAAGTAGGGCTGCACGATTATGACAAAAATCATAATTGCCGATTATTCCCTTGAAATTGTAATTACGATTATCACAATTTACATTGAATAATGTTTACACCATTGTTTTATGCAACTGCATGCCGTATTTTTATATGAAAATAAACAAGCTGAAAACACTCTAACTGAAAAACTCTAACTTTTATTGCTTTTCTATAGTATTAAGCCTCAAATGTCAACTAAACATCGGATTGGTTTCTTCAAAAGTAAAAATATGAATGGTATTATAATGTTATACTAAAATTAAAATAATGGGGAAAACCCTTAAGATAACATGTAGAAAGAAAAAAACGGATCTTAAAGCACGCAGAATAACATAAGCGGACTTTGAACGATTAATTGCCGCTTTGAACGATTACGCAATTGTGGCATCCATAATTGTAATCGCGATTAGAAATTCGATTAATTGTGCAGCCCTATCTGAAAGCTCTCTGACCCACTAAAACGGCACTAAAAACCAATCAATCAGCATATGTCATTTCTCTACACATTGTGGAGGTTACAAAAGGTTTATCACTCTGAAGTAATACTTTAAGGTTGAGGGGGGTGCAAACGGACAGACACGGTCTAGCAAACAAATGCAAGAGGCTATCATTGTTGTGAAGAGAGAAGGGCAGATGGACCACTGTCTATTTGCAAAACCTATGATCCTTTATTTCTCGCCGTGTTGGTATCACATCCTCCAGTGCCCTTGTCATCTCCCACAGACTTCACCACTCATGCTCGCTCGGGCTCAGCCACCTCTGATCTTTTCCATCCATATTAACCCTTCAGCAAATCACAATGCACCACCAACAGGACCAGTCACAATAACAGCGGGCCACGCTTTGTGCACCTATGTGTGATTGTATTTCTTATATTGTAGAGGGCAAACAATGAATTGAAGCACTGATATTGTCTGTATATGTGTGTGTATTTGATTAAAGTCTACAAGAGCGCCAATGGATCCGACAATGAGATTGGATAATACTCCAAGCACCTTTGTGTGTAATCCGAATTCTCCTATTCACCCGGATGATAAATAATGGCACTCAGGTGATAAGGTTCAATTTTATAGCGGTTACTCATGCAGGATAAAAACCCAGAAAGAACGAAGAGGTTGGATTCAAAGCCTGTACAGTAACAGGAGGATGGAGCGGGTGCTGTTTTCAGAGGCACTGAGGGGGAGATTAAACGGGACTTGAAAGCCAATGGAAGACTAAATAAAGCCATAGAAGAGCCAGAGCCTATGATCAGCCTGTGATCAGTCCTGTTCGGGGCATCTCAAACATACATCAGCCTCTGTTTGACTCTTCACATTTTTCATAGTCTCCTCACAAAGCAAAGGCTTTCATTAGGCATCATCGCTCACCGTGACAGAGAACACACAGGAAGACGGTATACAAAAACCCTGTTTAACCTCGACAGCTTACAATAACTGAACTTGAGTGACATAAGGGCTGTGTGTGAAACCTAAGGCAGCTGTCCAGACAGTCAGTGACTAAACAGCCAGTGTTTGTGTATGAAGGTTTCTAAGCAAACTGCTTTCAGACAGACTTCAAAAGCAACGTAATGTCATCTCAGTGATCTAGCACAAATTCATGTGAGCTTTAGACATATCTGCAAATATTTAACAACTACAATGCTTTTGTCCAGGAAAGTTTAAAAAAAGAGAAAAACAAAAATCAGCTTTTTTTTTTTTTTTTGTAGACAGGAAGCACAAACAGTGGATCTGAATGTGCCTTGATGTCTTCCTGCTCAGTAAAAAGTGTAGTTATTTTTTCCTGATCTGACCTTTAAAAACTACTTCTGTTGATGTACCTTAATGTTGTCAGTTGAATCAATTATATGAATCATATTCCAGTTCATTCAGATGTTACCACATTAAGCACATTTTCAGGTTCATATGAAGCACATTTTACAAAAGTACCTTTGAAAGCAAATTTTTTTCCCTTTTCACTTTCTCTTACTCGTTCTCTCTCTTTTATTCCACATTTAGAACTTAATATTAAACATGGTAAGTTATAGCTTGTCTGAAAGTCACTGCCATGTGAAACAAAGTGGAATGCGAACCAAAGTTCTTTATTGACATCTATTGTTCCATGAACGTTTAATATCCATGGAACCTTTCCATTGCAAGTTCTTCATAGTGGAAAAAGGTTCTTTAGATTATTAAAATGTTCTTCACACCAATAAAAAAAAAAGTTTTACTAAGGCATCTGTGTGAAAAACTTTAGAATCACTTTTGGAGCCTTTATTTAAAAAAATCTGTTTCAATTGAATGTACACCTGTCACGAATTCGGTCCATGGACTTCCGTTTATTCACCAACAATATGGAAGATACTTTGTTACTTCCGTTATATTTCGACTTTAACTATAAGCAATAACACTAGTCATGCCTATTTTAGCTAATAACACTAAATATCTAAATACAATGGTTAAACACTTTAAGGTCCAATTCTCGCTATTAACAAAACATTAACTATGACTTTTGCCTCAATAAACTCCTAATTTGCTGCTTCATAACTAGTTAATAGTGAGAATTGGTCCCTACTGAAGTGTTACCAATACGATACATGTATAGAATGTACAAAAGTATAATTGCCAGAGCAACATTTGTCTCATAACAATAGCACATTTATATTTTTTAAAGGTCAAACTCAACCACCAGTATCAAATCCTAAAATAGTTCCGGCATACATTTTTCCTCGTTTTTCTATCATATAAAACTGTGTGAGTCTCTGTTGCTAAATCCGTCTTCCAGCGAGAACGATTTTGATCCCTGCGATTTTCACACCCCTGTGTTTCACGAAAACTGGCTTTAATGAATGGCTAAAGTGATTTAGGAAAGTCTCTAGAAATTCCTTGCGTTTAATAGCATGGGAATGCTCGGAAGAGCTTCAGTCAAAATTGCTAACGGGATGAAGGGACTAAAAAGTCACGAATTGAAAGAAACTACTGCAGGTGGAGCAGGCAGATCTCAGATTTCAGGCTGAAGTCACTGTATTTTATTTACTTTGAGGACGGCCATGAAAGAGTGAGAGAGACGTAAGTGAGGAAAAGAGAAGGAGTGAGCAAGTGAGGTTAAGAGTGTGTTGGATAATATCGCTCATTCCAAAACAAACTCCTGTCAGCCATATGAAGGTGAGAGCCGCATTCCTGAGTTCCCGAACTGCAACACAAGTGCTGTATTGTGCGAGGGTCTGAGTTCCTCTCTTTCAGCCCGTGCCAATGATACAGCTGGACAGGAAACTCTGAAACTCACAACCAGCTCACTCTTCTCACTCAAACAGCCTTGCCAAGCAGCCAAGCACACCGTGTCTCTCTCTCTCTCGCTCAGCACACCGTCACCAACTCGTATGTTACACACAGTGTACTGCCAGCTGTACGCAGCTGCCAAGTCGCAGAATTGAAAGCAGAGAGAAAGTACTGACACATATGCTGGATTTGGCAAGCAGAGGTCTAAAATACATAAAAGGAAAACATTTACTGCTGACTGAAATTGAGGTGAATAATTCAAAGACAGGAAGCAACGAGGCCAAGAAATTAGAATGCTGTCTGTGCCAGCATTAAAATGTCTACATCTATATTATAATTTAGTATCATTTTAATATGATTTCATTTGCCCTTCACATAGAGAATGACAGTGATAGAAGCTAAATGCTAGTGGCAGTCCTCCATGTGGCTCTGTCTGTTTCCACACCCTGTGAAAACTCGATTAATTAAGTCTAGTCAGGCTTCCCTCAGACTCTTACCACAAGAGACACAGTGCAAAATACACAAATACGGTAAACTGAGCTAGTGAATGTAAATGCAGCTATTTTCCATGGACATACTCAGTCTGGACAACAACAAAAAAAGCAGCTCTTTCTGTTTGTCTAAATCGCTTATGTTAGTCTTAACATTAGCGAACTTAAGTTTCTAGGAAAGTTTGCTGGAGAGCTGCTTTATAGAAACTGAAGTTGTAATTCTAATTGAAAGCAACACAGACATTACTTTTTCATGCTTAATACTGTAAAGCTGCTTTTAAAGCAACCTTTTGTATAAAGTGCTATATAATCAGAGCCGATCCTCCCTATATGCAAAATACACAAGCTGAGTAGGGCCCCCGAAACACCAGGGGACCCCTTGCTCTCAAAGATGATTTAATTTTTTTTGAATTTGGCCAGCGGTTATGAAAACATGAATGATCCTTTCTTTTAATGCGTGCGCTGTCACCCTTTCTACGTAAAAATCAGTCAAATCATGTAATGTGAAAGTCGTACAGTCTTGCTTGAGACTAAAAAAACGAGTTGAAAGTGCACCGAGCCGCGGAAGAGACAGAGTGAAGCACGGACAAATGCGTTTCATTCATTCGTTCCTAACCACTCATACCCCACTCCACCGCAACCCCCGCCGACACAGTTTTGCGTAGGGCCCCCAGAAGTCTAGGATCTCCACTGTATATAATTAAACATGACGTGACTTTACTTGCCGAATTCTAGAGCTGATATCAAACATATACATAACGTTATGATCAGATGCTTTCTTAACCTCTGTTTTCTCTGTCAATTTTGTGTGTGTGTGTGTGTGTTTATTTGTGTTAACTTTTTTTTTTTATCCCTAAGAACA